CACTGAGCCCTGGCTGTTGGGGCAGACGATGTGGTTTATGTTACATAAACGTCTGCTTTCTCTCCGGGGGTCTGGCATCCCCGCTCGCACCAGGCAGAGAGAGCCCAGTGCAAACCCTGGGGGCTGTGTCCCCAGTGGGCTCTCCTGGGCAGGAACGTCACACACGTGTTGCTGCCTTTTCCGCACTGGGGGAAGAGGGAGCTCTCTTAGCGATCTTGGAGGGTGGAAGAGGACGTCAGCCCCCTCCATTCTGACTTCAGTCGGTACTTTCTAATTAAGTTCTCCTTTCTAGCTTATCTCCTAACACCCTGCGGGCAAAGCATCCCACAGGGGAACTGGAAATACCTCCTCAAAACAATAAGGACTGTCCTGAGCCCGCAAGACCCCACGTGACTGACAATCAACCTGACCTTCACTGCCCACCGGCACATACCCACCCACCTTTGTCCCACACTGTCCTTATATAAACCTAGAAGTGTTTTCAGCACTTTGGAGACAGTCTTTGAGACGCTGTCTTCCCACTGCTGCCTCACCGAAATAAATTCCTTTCTCGTTTCCCCACCACTCGTGTCTCTGGCTTTGCGCTTTGTCAGCAGCGACTGGCCGAACCTGGTCTGTTGGGGCCCCCAGGGCCAGGTGCTCGTGCGCCCCAGCTACAAGGGGAGGGAGAGCCTAAGGAAGCCTGGGCCTGGATTCCTCCAGACTCTGCCCGGGTCTTCGTCCCCTGTGACCCATCCTTACCATGTCACCGTAATAAACCTTAGCCGTGGGTACACTTATAAGCTAATTCCCGTGATTCCTTCCAGTAAATCTTCCAACTTAGGGGCGGTCCCGGGGTCCCTTGAAACACAATCACTTATGCTCCTCCCAGTTTATTATTATTATTTTTAAAGATTTTATTTATTTATTTGACAGAGAGATACACAGCGAGAGAGGGAACACAAGCAGGGGGAGTGGGAGAGGAAGAAGCTGAGCAAGGAGCCCGACGTGGGGCGCGATCCCAGGACCCTGAGCCGAAGGCAGACAGACACCTAACGACTGAGCCACCCAGGCGTCCCTATTATTTTTAATTGTAGTGAAACACGCATAAATGTACCATCTTAACCATTTTGAAGTATACAGTTAAGCAGCATTAAGCACATTCACGATGCGCAAGCGTCACCACTGTCCACCCACAGGACTCTTACCTTCCCCAGAGGACACTCTATATGTGCTGTCAAAAAACAAAATTCGGGCACCTGGGGGGCTCAGTCGGTGAAGCGTCTGCCTTCGGCTCAGGTCGTGATCTCAGGGTCCTGGGATCGAGTCCTGCATCGGGCTCCCTGCTCGGTGGAGTCTGCTTCTCCCTCTGCCCCTCCCCCTTGCTTGCGATCTCTCTCTCCCTCTCTCCGATAAATGATCACCTTCCCTGGCGGGAAGGGCAGGGGGTCTTAGCACGCAGGTTCCCTCATCTTCCTTTGCAGTTTGGAGAAGGCCCACGTGACAGATTACCTCATCGATGCTGATCAGAAAATTCCTCGGTGACCAGTTCAGGCTACACTGGCAAGGAGTGTAGGTGTTAAGTCCAGATTAGGCGACTTGGTTTAAGTGACGCCATTTTGGGCCTGTGGTTTTCTTTTTAACCCCATTAAACACACTTCCCCATTCCTCCACCCACCCAGGCCCTGGCAACTACTATTCTACTTTCTGTCTCTATGAATTTGACTGTTTTAGGTTTTTGACACACGTTTTTTTTGTCCTTTTGGGACAGGCATATCTCAGTGTAATATTCTCGAGGTTCATCCGTGTTGTAGGGGTTAGTGCTTTACACCTTTGCACAGCTGAACGATTCTCCCCTGTATGGACAGCCCAGTTGCGTTTGTTCATTCATCTGCAGATGGAGACTTGGGTTGTTGCCACCTTTTGGCTACTGTAAATAATCCTGCTGTAAACGGGTTATAAGTATCTCTTCAAGTTCCTGCTTTCAGTGGTGTTGGGTATATACCCAGAAATGGAATTGCTGGATCATATGGTAATTCTAGTTTTAGTTTTTTCTGGAACCACCCTATTGTTATCCATAGAGGCTGCACTATTTTATGTTCCCACCAAAAGTTTTCAAGCCTTTGGGTATGGGAAAACCCTGGGGAGGGGTTGGGGAGCTCTTCATACTAGTGGAGAAGACATCTGTGATTCAATCAAGGTTGTTCAAAGTCTCAACCAAATTTCAATATATACCTCATTAAATTTTCGATAAAAGAGCACCGCACCCATATTTATGCACACACCCCCCCCATGTGAAACCAAGCTCAGACTTTTACTACGCACAGATGTGAAGATAAAATTATTTGACAGAGTGTATGAGACAAGTATAAAAATTAAACTCTTTATTTCATTGTCACATTTCCTTTTTAACTCAAATATGAAAAAAATTTAAAAGATGAGCTTAATGTTACCAGTCATCTGAAGAGCCCACCAGGATCGACACTATTCATAGACATAAAAAACCGAGTAAAAACAAAACCCCGGAAAACACAATGTGAGTACAGAATTTCAAATGAGTATGATTGCACATATCGGTTGGATGCAGCCCGGAAGTCATGTTCCTGACTATGCACCACACCCTATTTCATTTCCTTCTTGACACGACTTACTAGGAATCCTCCCAGGGAACTTGAGATGCTATGGCTTTCTTGGAGGGAAGTATTCTGTGTCATTTACAGAAGCTACTTAACCTCTACCAGCCTCGTTTTGCAGATCCATTATGAGCAAATGGAGTGAGAGCCCAGGAGGTGTGATGTGGGAATGCAGGGCCTACCCAGTGTGAGCTTAAATGCAAGGGAGTTTAAGCCTGGTGTGATAAGCAGCCTCGTAAGATGGTCCAGAGGATCCCTGACTCCTGGTACTCACCCCTTGTGGAATACCATCCAGAACTACTGACTTGCGTCTAACAAAAAGAATACAGCACAAGTGATGGGATGTCACTTTTGAGATTAAGTAACAAAAGACTGTGAATTCTGTCTTGCTACCATTCCCTGGCTCTTCTTACTTGCTTTCTCTGATGAAGACAGCTCCCACGTTGTGAGCTGCCCTGAGGACAGCTCCATGTAACAAGAAACAGAGAGGGTGGCCTTTGGCCAACAGTCATGAGAAACAAAGATTCTTATCCAGGAGCCTCTGAGGAGCTGACTCCTGCAAGAGTGAGCTGAGCAGTGGGTCCTTCCCCAGTTAAGCCCAACCCAGCCTTGTGACAGACCCTGAGCCAAGGACCCAGCCTAGCCACGCCGATTCCTGACCCACGGAGACTGTAAGACGGTAAGTGTGTGTCATTTTAAGTGGCTAAGTTTTGGGGTAATCTATGATTATACCATGATAGAAAACTAATACACCTGGGTAAGCAGTCACGTGCTTAAAGAGTCAATAAAATCACTTGTATTAATTCTGCAGTAGCATTTACAAATTATTTATATAGGATCAACAAACTGGCTTTATGTCAACTTCGAGAAAGAAAACCAAAACTTTACGCAACCTGGAACAAAAGAGTTTAGTGCTCCACACAAATGACATTTCTCTAAGGATTCTAGCTGACCACACAGCTTCCTGACTCCCTGCAGGACATGTGCCATCAAGTCTGAAAATCACACTCCACTGAATTTCTTCAAATTTGTAAGCCAACTATAAAAATCTCCAAACTTCTAAACGGTCTTTAAAAAAAAACAATAGAAAACTGTCTGTCCTCTTGGCTGAATTTACCTTGCCATAAAACTCATCCTTCTTACAGTTAAATATCACAGGTAAAAGTGAGCTCTCCCATTCATAGAAACGGCTAAACAGGCAAATCCATAGAGACAGAAAGCAGACTGGTGTTTGCCAACGCCAGGCCAGACAATGGAGAATGACTGCTAAAAGGCATGGGGCTTCTTTCTGGGGTGATGAGAATGTTCTAGAATTAGATCATGGTGCTTCTCTGCACAACCTCATGAATATACTAAAAAAGAAACACTAAATTGTACACTTTAAAATGGTGAATTTCATGATTTCTGAATTATATGTCAATCAGAAAGAATTTGTAGGGGCACCTGGGTGGCTCAATTGTTAAGCGTCTGCCTTTGGCTCAGGTCATGATCCCAGGATCCTGGGATCGAGCCCCGCATCGAGCTCCCTGCTCTGCGGGAAGCCTGCTTCTCCCTCTCCCACTCCCCCTGCTTGTGTTTCCTCTCTCACTGTGTCTCTGTCAAATAAATAAAATCTTAAAAAATAGAATTTGTAATGCAAGCTCTTATGGAGGAAAGTGAACGAGTCCATTTAAACAGCCCCCCAGATAGTTATGCTGCATCCCCAGACACACGTGAGGAATGATGTCTGCTCTAGGACAGATGGCAGCCTGCTACTACAGAATGGCTTACATGTCCCTTTTTCTTTCTTTCTTTCCTTTTTTTTTTTTTTTTTTTGCATTGCATCTTCTAAGAAAATGCTAGCAAAAATCCTCCTCTGGTAAATGTGTATTGTTGGTGTTGTTGTTTAAATGTATTTTGGGGGGCACCTGGGTGGCTCAGTTGGTTAAGCGTCTGCCTTTGGCTCGGGTCATGATCCTGGAGTCCTGGGATCGAGTCCCGCATCGGGCTCCCTACTCAGCGGGGCGTCTGCTCCCTCTCCCTCTGCTCATATAAATAAAAATAAAATCTTTAAAAAAATTTTTGGTGGGGCGCCTGGGTGGCTCAGATGGTTAAGTGTCTGCCTTCGGCTCAGGTCATGATCCCAGGGTCCTGGGATCGAGCCCCGCATCGGGCTGCCTGCTCAGCAGGGAGTCTGCTTCTCCCCCTCCCTCTGCTTCTCCCCCTGCTCATGCTCTATCTCTGTGTCTCAAATGAATAAATTCAAAAAATATATATATTTTTTAATGTGTTTTGTTCATTTACCTGTTAGATTCTTTTTAAAACTTCAGCAATTTTTACCTCGTTTTATAATAATTAGCTACTCCTTGCTACGAATGACAAGGTAGGAAAACTTACCAAAGCAAAACGTTTAAGGAGGAAGAAAGTGCAAATCTTTTCAAAGATTCCACTTCAGCATCTCACAATTTATTTAAATGTCATTCGCAGACACATATGTGGGGCGGGCATATGCTCCCTATTATTACATAGTAGCACACACTCCATGCCCAGCAAGAATCTTCACTTGACATTCGGCCTAGTGTTCTGAATCAGGGCAGCATCTTTCAACGAGAACAGGAGGGCGAAGAAAACATTTACACTCCATAACATGATTATAAGGAACTTGAGACAGAGGAATTGAAAAACAACATTTCTGAACGAGTATAACTGACAGAACAAGTTTCCCTTATTCTGCTTGTTTTAAATAGCTAATGTCTGTAAACTTGAACACCAACCCTGGCAGACTGAGCAGTCTTAATTCTTTGATTTTCCTTCCTGAACATCATCCAATACTCTGTGGAAAGGGAAGGTGGCTTCTTCAACTGGGCTCTCCTCCCCTCTGCCACCTGCAGCTGTTGTCCCACCTGGCAGGCGCCCCAGGTCAAATGCTTCGGTAGTCAGAGCCCCGGGCCACGATGGCGGCGGCGGCCCACTCCACGGAGAAAAATGAAATCGTCCCAAAGAATCCAAATATCACCATGACCAGGAGTTGCCAGTGAAGCAGCAAGTAGTTACTGTAGAAAAATGCCACGGCTGCACAGATGGACTGAGAAGAAACAGACCAGGTCAGAAGATGCACCCAGATGATCCCACCGACCCCCAGTCACCAGCTCACAAACGCGCACCGTAAACTCCCACTGAGAGCCGGCAACCATCCGGCAAGTGGCATTCTGTTATTTAAAATAGTATTTTGTGGGGTGCCTGGGTGGCTCAGTCGGTTGAGCATCCTACTTCAGCTCAGGTCACGACCCCAAGGTCCGGTCCTGGATCGAGCCCCGAGTGGGGCTCCCTGCTCAGCGGGAAGCCTGCTTCTCCCCGCACCCCCCACGTGTGTGCCCACTTGCTCTGTCTCAAATAAAATCTTTAAATAAGTAAATAAAATTTATTTTGTGAGAAACTGAGTAATTAATAAAATAACGTACACTCCCAGTCAGAAATGGGCTTGTCTATGTGACAAAGGGACTCTGGTATCTAAGGCAAGAAGCCTCTCATCTGAGCACTAAGACCAGAACGGAAAATCTCTTACAGGAGCCCGGGGGAGAAAATCACACCCTTTGCTGCTTCCTAAGTCCAATCAGAAATACTTTAAAGGATGCCCCTGCCTCTCATTTCAAACCCATCAAGAAAACAATGTTAAAGCACTTAAAAAAAAAAAAAGGCACCCACCTCAGCCCAGCCCAAAGGGGAGCTTACCTGCACAAACTTGAAGACCGCAAAGGCCGGCGCGCTGTCTTCAGAGTACAGAAAGCCTAAGATACTAAGCAGCTGGGTATTGAAGCAGCTGTCCCCAAGACCCAACAGGAAACTGCAGAAGATGGCGACTTCTTTGCTGCATAAAAAGGAAAATGAATTTAGAAAGAGCACTCTTAACAGTATTTGTTGGAGCCCTTCCCAATGTAAAAGCAATTCCCTTACAAGAGCATTTCACTTTCAAGGTATAAACACTATGAAACAAGAAGAAATAAACACTGGACTCTACAACGTAAGAATTTATGCTCAAACGCACTCACCTGCACAGTCCAAGCAAACTCTGGTCTATGAACTATCTGGGAGCAAACACTGGGTTTGGGCAGGGCCGCCCTTGGATGGTGGATCTGGACATAAATGTCTACATCTATAATGAATTTGAGTTGAGTGCAAGTAAGATCCTCAAAACGGATATAACCAACTGTAAATGGACCGGATGGCCTACCCTTTCCTCACCACCGTTCTTCACTGCTCAGAAAGCAGACCTATATCATCACATCAGATACTTATATGCTCTTTCATAGATCAAGAAAAACATTTAGTGGGCTGAAAGGTTAAAACCAACAATTATAAAATAACTTGGGATTCTCACGAGCTCCTATTTAAAATAATTCTGGCTCCATTAACATTTGACAGATGACCTTATAAAGAGAACAGACTCAGAAAATGATTAACTGCTCCATTCTGAATATCTAGCCACCCATTACTTCCCACCCTTCCTTAAATCACTAGAAAAATGACAGTCACTATACCTGGATTTGATGTAAGCGCTGCTATCAGTCCCTTCAACAGGAGCAATAGGGGCATCCCCAGGCATGTTGAGAAATATCAAATAAAAAGCTATAAAATGCACCAGGATGCCCAACAACACAACTGGATTTCTACCAAAACGATTATTCTTGCTCAGCAGGCCAAAGAGGCTTCCACCTGCAGAACCAATGGAATAGAGAATAGAAAAACACAAGGCCAGATTAATAAATCAAAATTTTGTTTCTTTGAAAAAAATAAATAAAACAGATAAACCAACAACTAATTTAATCAAGGGAAAGCAAACACAAATATTAAAAATAAAAAATAACCATTGAAACAGAAGAAAATTTAAAAATCAGAATAGACTTCTAGGTCAGTGGGGTAACAGGGAGTAGACTTAGCACCTGCCTAAAAAAAAAAAAAAAAAGTACAAAAAATATGAAGCAGTAAGTTTGGAGACACGAGATATCAGACAACAAAGGGCAGTGATCTCTGAGACAGGAAGTGAAGGAAGGGAGCCCACAGCCCCCCTGAAGGGAGGGATACCTAAGTGGCTAGAGTTCCACAACAGGCTATCCGAAAGGAAAGCTGCACAGAGAGACAATTCCAGAGATCTACAGAGGGTCCCTCTGAGTCTTCCCTAAGTGCTGATCAGCACATACTGTGAGTAAATTAGCAGAGGCCCCTGAAAGAACCAACCAAGAGGGTTAGATATATTAGATGTATTGGCGCCCCAGCCTGGGCTGGGAATAGTGCCTCATCCCCTCAGCCAGACAGGAAATCTTACGACTCACAGGCACTGGGTGTGCACAGAAGGGTCTTCCCTCAAGAGTGAGGAATAATTAGCCCTTGTCTGAGCACTGCTCTGGTCCTGTCCAACAAACCTTAAAAGCAAGCCCCAAAAGAATCATATTGTTTCCAAGTAAATGAACTGCAGCCAAGAACAAAGCTCAAGAGTATTTATAAGAATACAAAAATATCCAGCAGTTCACAAAGTCTGGTATCTCCAGTATGACCAGGCAAAGAAGCAGGAAAATCGGACCCATCATGAGGAGAAAAAGCAGTCAAATGTGGAGTTATCATATGACCCAGCAATTCCAGTGCGTTATATACCCAAGGGAAATGAAAACATATATTCACACAACAACTGTACATACATGTCCACAGCAGCATTAGTTATAATGGCCAAAAGTGGAAACAACCCAAATAGTAAAATGTGACATATCCGTAAAATTAAATATTATCTAGTGATAAGAAAGGATGATGCTAATACGTGCTAGAACGTGGAAGAACCTTGGAAACATTATGCTAAATGAAAGAAGCCAGACCTAAGAGACCATGTATTCTCTGATTCCATTTACATGAGAGTCCAGGATGAGCAAATCTACAGAGAAAGTACATTAGCAGTTGCCTGGGGAAGGGCAAGAAACATGTTCTAAAATTAGACTGTAGGGATGACTCACAACCCTGTGAATGTACTAAAAAACACTGACCCATACACTTTAAGTGGGTGACATATATGGCACGGGTTATATTTCAATAGTTGTAAAAAAAAAAAACCCAAAGAACCCCCCAGAACTGTCACAGATATTAGAATGAGCAAAAACATTAAGACAATTACTCTCACTGTATTCCACATGTTCAAACACATATAAACACCCGGTATGGTTCCAGGTGTGGGCAGTAAAGCAGGGAACAAAAACCACAGAAGTCTGCTCTCCCCGTCACGCTGATCACCGCCGGCCACTCTAAGGGTCCTATGGGTTTTTACTGTCTGTGCTCCTCCCTAAGCCATGAGCTCCATGGGGGTGGGGAGTCTCTTGTTCATACAATGGATGCACAGTGAGTATCTGATGACCTGGAAAGCTCCCCCTAGAGGACCGTATCCAGCACGGCGCTGCAGGCATCGAACCAGCCTTGCTGACCGAGGGATACCTGCAGGCGTTGCGCCGAGCAGCGGGAGGGGCACGGAAGTGTTCAATCCCTATGTCGTACACCTGAACTAATATTACGCTGTATGTTAACTAACTGGAATTTGAATAAAAAACATTTGGAAGAAAAGGAACACCTAGTGTGGCACAATAAAGATACACATTGGTCTTTGCCTTGTCTGTCCTCCTCCCCGCTCTCTGGCCCAGAGCTGCTCCTAGAGCCCTGGAAATGTCCTGTGTCAGGCGTGTCTTCTGTTCTCCATTACTCCCTTTTGACCACACCGGAGTTTACGCAAATGAGGTGATTCCTGAGGGGACTTCGGGGTGGTCTAGTTAGCTGCAGGATGGGGGCTGGTCGCAGAAGGACCAAGACTTGCTTAGAGGGTTGGAACCTTCAGCCCCGGCCCCCAGGCTCAGCACCGGGGAGAGGGGATGGAGATTGAGTTCAATCGTCATTGGCCAATGATCTCATCAACCCTGCCTCTGTAATGAAATGTCTGTAAAAACCCCTAAACAGGGCGCCTGGCTGGCTCAGTTGGTTAAGCGACTGCCTTCGGCTCAGGTCATGATCCCAGGGTCCTGGGATCGAGTCCCACATCGGGCTCCCTGCTCGGCGAGAGGCCTG